TCTTACCTTTAGATTCTCACTTCATCTTGTAGCAATAATTTTTTCCTTCTAGATAAGTCAACTTGGAAATCAATCGCTCTCTCAAAGGTCAAATCTTTTGTTTGGCCTGCTTTTCTAAAACAGATTAATATGAAAGGTTTATTTCAGTTTTGAAGACCTCTAACTGCTTTGTTTCCTCATCATTGTGACATGTGCAAATCAAGTTATGAAAATGTGTCTCATTTGTTTCTGCATTGCTCAGTGGTTTCCCTTCTCTAGAAATTCTCATGTTTTAATTTTATAAGTTTTGAACCAATAGATAGAGATGGTAAAAGGCTTTGACATTATTCTTGATTTGGGGTTGTTTGGTGTACATGGTTGAAAAGAAATATTATCATTTTTATTAGTCAAGTGTTGCCTCTCGAGTTCATTTGGGATTCAGCAGTTCACTTAGCTTAGTTGTGGTTTTCTGATAAAGTCTTTTCCTTGGTACAGCTAAAGAAAGATCACAATTTCGTGCTACATGTATCATGTTCTTAGTTTTTTATTCCTTTCAATTGTTTGTATAGTTTTTTGAGGTTTTTGTATTCTCTTGCATTTTTCCCTTGTTAATAAGTTCTCTGTTAGTCTGTTTATATTAAAAAAAAAGGAGTTAGGAATAAAGAACTATCATGGGATTATGACTATTTAAAAAATGCAACGCTCTCCCTTAGTCATTCTTCCTCGCATGCGCCTTGATAAATCATAATTTTCGTGCATTTTCATACCTATGTAATCTCCTATTAAATATTGTTAGTGCCTAATTGTTTTCTCTTGCCATATTTTATTGTTTTGAGGTTTATTGGCCTATTAATCTAGAACTTCATTTAATTGGATTTATTAGCCTAATTAATTTCATAATCATTTTGTAGAGGACTTGGAAGCACTTATTGGACTAGGAGCACTGCCACATGGACCTGCCACATGGACCAACTTCAGCATAGTTTTTATTTTATTTTTCTTATTTCGTAGTTTGATGTGTAATGGGCCAACTGGGTCAGTCCAACAGTTGGACCCGAATTCAAAATTTTGTAGGGAACCTAGGTGAATTATTTAGGTCAGCCTTGGGGGACAAAGGAGATGGAGCCGCCACTTCTGGTTTAGGTTCAAAAACAAGATAGAGAAAAACACCATTTTTGGACAACATTTGTGCTTGCTTTTGCTGTAGCTTATTTTCTGTAGTTTTTCTCCTTATTTTTCGTTTTCTTCTTCTTGGTCTTCCTCCATGGAAGGCTAGAATGTAATACTCTCTAACTTGGTTAAATGCATTCATTGAGGTTTATTCATTCCTGGCGTTCTTACGTTTTTAATCCTTATGAATCTGTTGTGTTGGTCTTGTTTCCATGCTTTATGGTTTCGTTTTCACTTAACTGGTTCACCTTGCTTTATCATGGTTTGCTTAATTTTTTGAGTAGAGATACATGCTAATGCTTCGTTTGTATGTATGGGTTCAATGATGGTAATGATGCTTAGTGGTTACTCGGATTGAACAGAGGGTTAGATCAGTGAGAAAATATTTCGAACCAAGGATTTGATGCTACAATTGAGTTGGAGAGTTACTGTTCCATTGCTTACTGTTCATTATTGACTATTTCATTCATTTGAATTTGAAAAATGAGACCCAAGACACAAGTGGGAGCAAGGAGAAAATGAGAATTAGAGAGTAAGAGAGTTGGGGAAGAAAGGGTTCCGTACGGGGGGTCTCACAACTTGCATCACTTTTTTTTTTTGTCGAGATCGCATAACTTGGTATGAGTCATTTTTGCATTTTTAGTATAGTAAGTTTACTTGAAAAATTAAAGATGATTCATTAGTGATAGAATATTTTCCTTGTGAGATTTTGAGCCTATTTTGATATGGATAGAATACACTACATCATGTCATTTTCTTTCTTATGTGATTGTACTCATGTTGCTAGTTACTCTAGGTTTTACTTTTGCTTTTTCTTTTTTATGCCTATTGTTTCACATGCATTATTATTGATATGATTTAGACCCTTTTTTTTTATATGGTACTAGCCAAAATAACCTACCTTACATTTTCCCCTTTGTTAGCCCCTTTGAGCTTATATAACATTTTCTTTGATTTTGAAGCTCATTACAAGGCATATTGTGAAAAACCATGATACACTCTAATCTTAGGGATTAACGGAACTTTAGAATTGTTTTGGGAATAGCTTCTAAATAAGTGTAGGGGTGTAACCCCAAGGGAATAATTTTATATTGATATTATTGAGTTGTTTGGCATTAGCTTGAAAGAAAAATGAAGAAAGAAAAAAAAGGACAAAAAATATATAGAAATAAAAAACAAAGCAATGCAATAAAAAATTATGGTTGAAATAAAGTAGGAAACCAAAGAAAACAAAAGAACCCTATTTGGGGTAGCTTTTGTACTTATTAAATTTTCAAAACTGAAAGGTGTGCTTTTTGGGAGTGCTAGAGCGCTCTATTTATAGGCATCAGGAGTGGCCGGAATGACCTATTTCAAGTCTGGGACGGCCCGTTCTGGACTCTTACGTTATGTGCAAAGTTCACAACCAGAACAGCCCGTTCTCAAACTAGAACGGCCCGTTCTAGGGTTGCATTTAACTCATAACGGCCATATTTGGAACGACCTATTCCCAACTAGGATTATAGGCCTTTTTTGATGGTTTGGAACGCCCCGTTCCAATTTGGGAACGCCCCGTTCCCATCTAAAATTTGTAGACAATTTTTGTATTTTGGAACGGCCCATTCCAGTTTGAGAACAACCTGTTCTAGGCTACTAAGTCACCCTCGTTTTAGTAGTTTGGAACGGGCCCACTACTTTGTATTTAAACACATCTTTTGCTTTGCAATTCATAAAGAATATGTTCTTTCCATTCACATTACTCTCAACAGATATGATTGAAATTGTAACTCGTTTTTCTAAGTAAGTTGCAATTTGAAAACAACGGAAATTAAAAGAGGAGAACGAGTTAATTTTCATAACATGTCATGAATGAGAAAATTGAATTTATTGCCTGCTTAAATTTTATCTCCATAGGGAGAAATGGTTAACAAACTCCAAGTTCGCATGAAGAAATCACTCCATCATGTTGAGGTGAATCTCTCAGAGACAAAGGGATATGAAAAGCATGTAATTGTTGATTTATTCAAGGAAACATATGGCCAGGTCATAAACAACTCGCAGCCTTGTTGTCCAGAAAATTGCAAAGGTACACTCTAATTTTAGCACTAATTAATGCAAAAGTTGTTGTGTTCTTAATTCTTACGGACCAATCATCAAGTTAGTAACATATTTACCTGTATATATGTTTATTTGAAAGCAATCATTTTGTATGAGGCCGAGAAGCTTTCCATAGAATCCTTGTTGTATATTAAGTGGCTACTAGAAAAGTACAAGGGGTGTAATAAGGTATTCTTTTGTTGCTCTGATGAATCAAAGCTCCAACCTGTCAAACCACTTTGCATCACTGTTCGGCTTTCATCACCATCAAGCCAAGAGGTCAGAATTTCCAATATTTTTTTGTTTCAGTATAATCTGTCTTTCCTTTCAAGAACGTTAATGGATTCTGTCTCATCTTACACTCTTTGATGATATAATTACACATTATGAGGGTACTCTATATATATGTGATTTTTGGAATTCATGCCATCCCATTAGCAAACTTATATAATTATAATCCGAAATTGAGTAGCAGCAGGAGCATAGATTATTAATTTAGTCATCTAATGCAGTGAATTTCTTCTTTTATAATTAGTTTGAGGTTCTTTTAAATCATGAATAAAAAATCATTTATACAACTGAAATATAAAATGTTATTCATAGATTTTTTCACGAAAGGCATATAATAAGGTTTTATTTTTTCCATGCTTTTGAGCCAACAGCTTGTTGAGATTTTGGAATATATTGGAAAAGAAGAAGGAATAAAATTATCGCGAGACTTAGTCCATAAGATAATTTTGAGGTCCAAAAACAATCTACGTCAAGCCATTCGTTCGTTGGAGGCCAGTTGCCGAAACAAGTAAGTCTTACTAATTAAGTATTTAACTAGTGAATATAGCTTTCAATAATTTTTTGTTTCTATTGTCACTTTGTTTTAATCGATTTTGGAGTTAAATGAGGCCTAGAATATTATGCAAATGATTAATTATTTTGCACGCAGGGATGCTCTCAAAGATGACGATTTAATTCTAACTGGGTGGGAAGAAGATATTTTGAATATTGCCCAGGAAATAATCCAAGAGCAAAGTCCACGACAGTAAGAAATTAGGTCTTATATATATCTTAATTTTGAATGCTTGAGATGTAAACATCATTCATTTTAGGTCTCTAAATTTTAAATTAAAATTGATTTTAGATTTTATATATTATATTTTAAATTAAAATCCCTTGTTTTTAAACCCTAAAGTTAAGATACTAGGGTAATAGGTAAAAATCGCTAATTATAAAAGTTTAATAGAATTTGATATTTTTTTTTGTTAATATAAACTTTTTTGTTTCAAGACTTAACTCATCTCACTTGTTGATTTTAGCTCAAGGGTAATTATGAAGAGTTCTAATCTTGAAATTTGACCCCATTTATTTTAATAATGAATTCAAGTTATATTTTAAATTATATCTCGATATGATTTGGTGTTCTATTCTCTTAAAATTAGTCCATTTTTTTAACAACTATGTATTAATAATATCTTTTATAAAATACATTGTATTTATAATAACATATTTTATTTTTTAAAAGATATTATAAAATATACTTTAATTTTATGTTTACTATGTTAACACATTATATTGTTATTTTATAATTTAACTATATAATGATAATAATTTATATATATTCTGCATTAAAAAGTCAGCTATATGCATGCTTATTTTGATTTATGTCCCATTACTAATTATTTTCAACCTTCTGTTAGCATTATATATCTAGTCACATAATTATAAACAATTAAAATAATTTTTCTCGTTATCGCAATTTTTGAACAGAGAAATTCTTTCAATAATGGGGTAACATATAACATATTATTAAAGAAAGATGTAAAAATAATACATTGAAAATGAATCAAAATAAATTTTATTATTTTCTGACGAACTTATACTTTACAACCATTAATCTTTTCTAATATAGGCTGTACGTCATTCGTGGAAAGCTCCAAAGTCTTATGATTCATGATGTTCCTCCTGACTTTATTTACAAGGTAAGAAATTATTTGTGCACATATATATGTATATAAGAATTTTTCTTATTATAAAAAATAGATCTACAAATTTAGATAATTATTAAATTATATTTAAATGGTCTAAATTAAAATACATGTATAATTTTTAAAATAATCATATGATCACTACATTTAATTCACAAAAATTAGGGGAAAATTAATTAAATAAAACACAAGAGCTAGTGAATTTTATGGTTTCTAAGAAATTCAAAAAACAAAAAAGGTGCCAATATCTGTGACGTTATCGTGGTTCATGCAGTTTTTGGTAACAGAGTTAACAAACCGAGTTGATGAACCGCTGTGGGCAGGGGTTGCCCAACTCGACAAGGAATTCAATGTAAAAACTCAAACTGTTTTTTTTTATTATTATTTATAATTTAATTAAATGTTTAATGGATTTTTTGTCCCTATATTTTTATAATGTTAAAAGGGATCATAAAAGTATATTTTATTCCATTTCAGAGAGCTGGAGAAATCAAATTTGAAAGTATGAAGCAGTTGGGTCATGCACGAAAACAAGCCGAATCGGATGAGAACAATGACTCAACCATAAAGAATGAATTAACTTACTCAAAAGTCGAAGGTCAATCATTTTCTACTCTGCCCTTAATTAGTATTTACTCAGTATTATAGTATTTATATATCTAAGTTTTTCCTTCGATTTTCATATTAATTAATATTAATACACTAGTATGTATATACACATCAAATTTTAATCCCAAGCGTGTGATTCAGCGGTAGAGGTTGATCCACGCTTAAGCAAGGTCAGGAGTTCGAATCTTGTCTTGTCTATGTAGCCGCGTTTAATTCCATGGACGAACAAAAAAAAAATACACATTGAATTTTATAATAATTATTTTTTATTTAATATTATTTAATATGTTTAAATTCTAAAGAATGCATTTAATAAAATTATATTTTACATTTAATAGATAATATATTTTTTGGTACATATAAATAATATCTAATATTATTTTATTAAAAATTTTATAAAAATATTACATTAATAACAACTTAGTTTTATATAATAAATATAATTAATATGAACAATTTAATTCTTGGTTAAATATTATTAAATCTTTTAAATTTGATTAGATTATATTAGATGCGATGACTTTCTTCAAATAAAAACTTGATGTTAATGTATCTTAAGTATATAGGCATCAAATCACATTTTAAAATAATTTTTTTTATTCAATAATATTTTTAATATATATAAATTCTGATAAAAGGTCATATATTTAATAAATTTATATTTTTAATTAATAAATATAGTATGTTTAATAAATAAATATTTAATACTATTTATTTAAAAATATTTTTTCATATACTTATAAAAATACTACATTAAAGACACTAGGTTTTACATTACTAATTTTTTTAGTCATTAATATCTTAATAAATATTATTGATGTGAGCAATTTAATTTTCATTGAATATAATTAAATTTGGGTATGTATGCATAGGCTGTTGAGTCCAAGTTGCTATTAATCTTAATCAAGAAGAGTTAGCTCAGTTAGTTAACTAGGTGTGTGAGTTATTTCTTAAAAGTTTACATAAATTGAGACATGCATTATTAACATTTATGGTCTAAAACTCCACTCTTTACGCCTAGTTCAATAAGATTTTTCTCAAATCTTTAATTGTTGGTCAAAAAAAAAAAAATTAAATCAGCGTGAACAACCTAACCCTGATATGCCTAGTTCAATTAGATTTTTGTCAAAATCAATTGAATTGTTGATCAAACAAAAGAATATATTAAATTGTGGGAATAACCTAACCCAAATTCATTATAGATAAATTGTAATAGAAATAAAATTTCACTCACATTCTATAAAGAGATTTTATCCCTTAAAAAAAATTATCTATCCATAATAATTAAGAATGTAATAACCAATATAATTATCATAGTCAAACAAAATTAACATAGGGTGTTAGGGTGTGTGTGTAAAAAAATTCCTGTGTTAATTTAAATCAAATCTTTAAGTAAAATGAATTGCAATTTAAAGTATTTGTTTTTCTTTAAAACTTTATTGCATTCATTATTTCATGCCTGGATATCCAAGAGTGTATGCTACAACATGGCCTAATTTTTGCTGTGACATATTTATTTAACTTGTGCCATGGAATGAAATTAATGACATGACATTTTGACATACATATAAAAGCGCATGAATTTTACTCTTTGGACTTTTATTAACTTTCTTTGGGCTTCAGAGGTTTTAATATTCTTGCAATTTCTTGTATCTGTTATTTAATTTTCGAGGACTCAATTTAATCTAAAAAAGAGTATCTAGGAATAAAAAAAGAGTAAATTTATTATTCATCATTACCAATTTAGTTTTCATTTTCATTTTCTTAAGTAAATAAATTAATACTCATTCAGTGGATTTCTGGTTTTTATTATTTCAGAGTTTATAGCGAAATTCATGAGCTGGTACAAGTACAAGAAGCACGAGAAACACATCGGAGGAGCATAGATGGTGAGAGGAACTCAAATACCAGAGAATCTTTTGACTTTTGTGTCTCAAATATGAAACCACTTTGTGTGAATAAACTTGAAAGATATTTTGTGTTTAAGATCAACTTAACACCCGTCACGCTCACGCGTGTTCAGTACCTACTCATCAGGTCGATCGGAAGGTACCAAATAAATTTGGAACTTAATTATATATGTTTAGATTGACATGACCGTGAATATGCACGGTGTGTTTTTATACTGCATGCTTTCTATCGTATTCCTTAGCAGACATCATGATGAGTGTTAGAGTATACTTCATAAATCATGGTCGAGTGCTTTGGATGCAACCTATGTAATTGGACATATATATTTGCATATACCTTCGTTCACACTCCATACTGTGATAAAAAGAAGGTTCATCTATGTATAAATTATTATTCGGTTATTATTTCTTCCTTAGTTACTTCGTTGCAAACAATTTTATCTTAAATAATGAGATATCTTGTATAGTGGAATTAGGTCATTTCAAATACTCCACGGATTGTTTCCAAAATTCTTAATTTGTTATTGTTATATTATAAACAAGTTAATATGATCTATCATGTAGTAGGATTTAATGGACATGCATGTATACCAATTGTATAAGAGATTTTACATTTTCAATCGATCAATAAAATTTTTATTAATATAATTTTTAAAATAATTATTTTAGAAATTAACAAAATTACCTTTTAAGATAAATTGTGATTAGAAAATTACGTAAAATTACCGCAGTAATTATCAAATCACCACTTTACTCAAAATTTCTTTTTGTGAGCGTATGAAGAGTATATGTTTAATTATTTTTAATTGCAATTCATAATTATTGCTTGAAAAGGACAAGTTAAGCATCTTGCTAATCTTATATTTTAAGAATATCATATCATATATTGACAATAAAAAAATTAACAAACATATTTTAATGGATATGCATCTACTCTGACAACTAATTAAAAAATAATTTTGATGTGATTTGTGTATTATTAAAATCAACGAAATTATCATACAAAATGGTTTTTATGGGATGTCATTACATATACTTTTTTCTCACTGAGAATAATAATTTAATTAATGGACATTTATTGTAAGTATATAATTTTTTATACTATCAATTAATTACAAATAAAATTTGATATAAATTTTAGAGTGGTTATTATTATATTCAATAAAATTTTCAATTTGTGAATGAATCATAATTTAAAAAGAAAATATATTATTATTGTAAAACTAGCTAATTAGAAAGGATTTGACTTTTTTTTTTTAAATGATGAGAGGTGTATTTTACATAATAAGATATGCTCATCGTTAATTATAAAATTAACAATTAAAATTATAGTTATTATACATGTTAGTTTGTAATAGGATAATTAATTATGGTAAAAAAAATATTACATATGCTGCTTTGGCACATAAGTCTAAAATGTGTTTGGTCGCTTTCACACGCGAACAAATCCGAAAAATGCAACAATTTGTTTTCCGTTTTAAAGTCATTTATTTTTGTGGTGAGAGGATGCAACTACAATTCTATACCTAATAATTCTGAACTCCTACACGTAACAACGACTTTTGGTTTGTCCTCAATCATGATTCATAGTATGTGCGCCGCTAAACAACATTATTCTTTTGGAATTAATGGATATTTGGTAGAAATTTATTTTTTAAAATAACCATTTTTTTAAAAATTATAGAAAAGTTTTGTTTAATAAACTCTATACTAAATGGAGCATTCCTGAAAATTGATAATGTCTATTCGGCAACTTCAAACATCGAAATACTCTCATAAATTTAGATACTTTTACTTAACACACTTTATAATACACATGTTTAGTCTCCTCAATTATAATCGGTTGTTGCGTCAAATTAGATAAGTAATTTTTCATTTTGTATAGAAGTAATTAAGGTAATTATAATCTAATCAATACGAAGGTCACCGATATATGATCTAATTAGTAATTTTATGTTGATGTCCATTAGAATATAGATTCATCACATTGGTATAAATATAATATAACGAAATAAAATTACTGTTTACAATATATTTACATTGATTATATCGAATAAGTTATTTAATTGATGTAATTATACCTATCTTTCACGATTAATTTTTCTATCAAGCATTTCAATGTTAATTAACATTACACGATAAAGTGACTAAATCTATCTATTTTTAATAAATATAAATTAAAATAAATATATTAAATGAGAGTATTATTTATAAACTATGTTAAAATATTTTATTAATTTTTAATGATAAAATAATAAATAAAGGGATTAAATTGTGTTTCATAAACTCTTCCCAATTTTTTTTAAGCATGAGAAAAAGACTTGAGTTGAGCATAAAATGGATAAAAATTCAAAGTTCATCAAATCATAATTAAATTCTTATATTTTGAAAAAATATGGTCTCATTAGCATTAATTAATTGTTTCATAATTATTCCATTTAATCATTGATAGAATGTGATGATATGAACGATGCCCATCAATCCATCATAGCTTGAAGTAGCGAATGACGTATACTATTTTTAGCGATGTTAATAATTTGATTGGATTGATTTTATATTTTATATTTAAAACAAGTGATGTGTCATGTGCACTGTGCTGTCCAGGAACAATACTCGTTCACATCTTATATCCATGGGAAAGGATTAGTGCTGCTCTACGTTTTACGCGCTATTTAAATGTGAATAAAATTGAACCACACGTGAATAAAGTGATTAATTAAGTAAAATATTAAATTATAAATTTAGTGTTTAATTTAATATTAAATGATGTAGTATTTAAATAATAGTGAGTAAATTAATTATATAATTAAGTGATTTAGAGCGTGTTTGATTTACTCAATTTCTGAATTCTAAAGTCATGTTCAACATAACTTTATTCTCTTGTAACATTGACGTTGAACGGAATTAAACGAGAATACAAACATGTTATTAGTGATATAAGTTAATATGACTATAAGTTCATAATCAAACTATTATATTTTTATAGTAATATTAAATTTTTTAGTTTAAGTGACAAATTTAAAAAATTAAATTGAATTATTAGTTGATTCGGTTAAAATAAGTAATGTCGTGATTCGATAGAGTCTAGTTACTTAAATTGTTCATTCTATATTGCAATAAATTTTTGTAATTGATACGTGTAATGATACATTAGATGTAATAAATGTATTATTATGTTATACATTTTTAAATTGATTAAGTTGTCATGTTGAGATTGTTGTTGTGTTGCGACTTGTTGTATTTTTATGTGATGGTGTGATTTATGAGTTGATTGTATTGTATTGTTACGATTTGTTAAATTTTTTTATTATATATTAAATTATTTTTATAAGTTTATTAAGTGTTTTCCTTATGATCGAAATTGCAATGATCATATTTTGCGTAAGAACATAATAAGATTAGTAAGATGATTTGTGTTATTAGAGATGTCTAGATTTTGTTGATGATTACTCCAATATAGTTAGATTTTGTATAAATGCTGACCAATATTTAAGTTTACTTTACACTTGATACTATATCTTGTATATAACATTTATTTATATGATATTAGTTATTAGTTGTATAATAAATCCTAAGTATAGTGTATATTATTTATTCTTTTGTTGTGTAGTAGCTGAACTTTAATAAGTATAGTCATTAGCTAGATCATTACAACATTAATCACTTACTTAATGAATATTAATCGTTTATTTTTCCTCTTCTTTCATTTTTTTCTTCCTCTTTCTTACATATGAAACAAATTATAAATTAACTAATTTAATTTTTTATTTTTGAAATATAACGGTTAAAAAAATATTTTATAAAAAAAAGTAAATATTTTTAATAATTTAAAATTAATTTATACATAAAAAACAATTTTTTTTAAATAAGTTAGTACAAGAGAGTTTCTATAAACTAATTAGTTTATATTAAATAAGTTATAGTTTGTTAAATATTTTATGTATTTTTTTTATCTATAAGTACTCACAAAAAAATTTCCAAGTAAAGTTCATTATATATAATAATTTACTAATTTGTCTAACTCACCTCACACAATTCGTAGATTAATTAATTTCTTTTATTTTTTAATTAAATTTAAAGTTAAAAGTTAGAGTGCAAAAATAATTTATATTATCTTTTATATTAATCTTTAACTTTGATATACTTTATAAAACATATTTGTTAAAAAAAAGTTATTATCATTTACATTTTCACATTTTTTTATTGACACTTTTTTAATTTATATTTTTATTAATAATTTTTAATTATTTTCATGAAGATCTTTAGTTCTCAACGAATAAATGTAATCTTGATTAATATTTACAATTAATCAAACACATAAGATCATTTGAATAATTTAAATTTGTAGATATCCTTAGATACAAATATCTTATTACAGCCCCTGTTTCATTAATATGTAGTTAGATTTTTTTTTAATTTTTAATTTTTTTACTTGCAAATATCTATTAAGTTCCCCACATATATATAACTTAATAAAAATGTAATTATTTTTTTTCCAACTTAATTAAGACATGGCCACGAATGACCCAATACTGTCCCTAGTGTTTGAATGAGTGTTGGTCCGTTTTGAATATAGATTCATACTCTACACCGTACGGATGGGCCCCACTTTTTATCGATACTTCCCTTCCCCTTTTAGTTAAAAGAGTAAATCACGGAGTTCTTTCAGTTGCCCACGTGAAATGTAAAGTCATTTCTTTTTTATTCTAAATTACATTAATTTTTATGAAATAAATTTATTTATTTTTGATTCGTCACCGGAATATCCACCGGCGATAGCAGTTACTAATATTCTCGCTACGTTGGAGCTACTTCAAAAAGTGGGATAACTGACCCTAAAATTTAACACGACTGTATATATAAGGCATGATTCGAATCCTAATCTTGCTTATTTATTTTTGGATACAAGGAATATACATTTTTTTTTTTTTGCTAACAATGAATAAATTTATTTGAATTGAGATCAGTGAAATTATTTTTTCTAAAAGTTTAGAACCTAATCCTTATTGATTGATACGAGTTGTTCTTATTTAATTAATGATTTGAATTTAAGTCCTTCAATGTAAGATATATGTGATTTTTATAATTTATTTTAAGTTTTAATTTATATTTATATTATTAGTGAAAAATAGTTTTGTTCACAGATTAAATACATTTCGATGATTTTATTATTTTATTTGATTCATTAATAGAATATATAAACAATTGTTATATATTAAATATTTATAAAAATAATGAATATTTAAACTAACTATTCATTCATTAATTAACAATGGACTTTTCTTCCACTACTTTTTTTTTTTTATTTTATGAGAGAAAAAAAAAAAAAAAGGTAATTGTCACTTGTGATGTGAGTGACGACAGACGAGTGAAGGAAACTCAGTTTCATGTCGTATTGCGTGAACGTTGACGGCTTAAAAGCAAATTTCATTTCAGCGATCACCGAGAAAAGTTGCTCTTAAATATTTTATTAAATTGTTCTTCAGAATGTCTTGATTTGGAACCCGAATACTCTAGTGGGAGAAAATTATGGTTGGGGCCTATCTACTTTTTCTAAAAAGTTATGCATAAATTATTTTAATACAGTATAACATTTAAAATTAAGTAATATTTAAAATGTTTGATTTTGATTAAAGATCGGATAACTTATTTAAGTGGGGTAACACACTTTTCGTTTACTTTAACGTCGAGAAAATGGAACTTTTCTCTTACGCAAAATCTATGTACTTGTTATAATTTCCATCAGTAAAAAAACTTACCTTCAATGAAAAATAAGAGCAGCTATAGATCATTGCCAAAAAAAAAAAAACTATAGATGTATATTTATTTTTATATTAATTATTTTTATATTAATTACAAAATGAGTGTGATTTATCTTTAGTTATAGATATAGTGATAGTGAACATTAACTATAACTATGAAAGTGTTGGGTAAATTGATAGAGTAGATGCATAGAGTAACATAATATATATTGATTTTAAATATGAAATATAAAATTTTAATATTAATTTAAAATGAGAATTGTATTTAAAAAAAAAAATAAATATATTTTTAATCCTTCAAATATAAAATAAATTCATTTTTAGTCTCTCAAATTTAAAATTAATATTTTTAATTTATATAATTTTTAAAAATATTATTTTAGTCATTTAGATTATTAATAACATATTTAAAAATAATAAATTATGATAGTTATGCAATATTAGTTAAATTTAATATGATATTTTCATTATAAGAACATTATTTTATAAATTTTTTAATAAAAATTAAATATAAAAATAAAAATAATTTTTTTAAAATTATAAGAATTAAAATAATAATTTTAAATTTGAAAATTAGGGGGACGGTGACAGAGGAAAGGAGGGTAAGACGTGTGTAAGTGTAAGTGAATGTGGAAACAATGGATGATTAGTCTGGCATAATAATAATTTAAGAGGAGAAAGACAAAACGACAGAGTGTAGTTTGAAGTTTGAATTGAGAGAGAGAGAGAGAGAGAATGAGTGGTGGAGGAGGAGAAGAGGGAGATACTCTGGAGTTCACTCCGACATGGGTAGTGGCCGCCGTTTGCACAGTGATTGTGGCCGTTTCCCTGGCCGCCGAGCGCTTCCTCCATTACGGAGGAAAGTTTCTGAAAGCCAAGGGCCAGAAGCCGCTCTTCGAAGCTCTCCAGAAGATCAAAGAAGGTATTGCTAATGCTTTCTTTTCCTTCCAATTGAATTGAACTTACGATCTGACATCTGACACTGCACTGCCAGAGCTGATGCTGTTGGGTTTCATTTCCCTACTTCTGACGGTTACACAAAACGGCATTACCAAAATCTGCGTTCCACCCGGTTTGACGCGCCACATGCTTCCGTGTGACCCCAACCAAGCTCCAAACCACGAATCTCATTTCCAGTATCATTCGTTTTTCCCTGGAACAGCCAGACGCCTTCTCGCCGAGGCCCACTCCGAGTCCGAGACTCAGACTGGTTACTGCGCTCGCAAGGTCCATCTCACACTCTCTACTCTTTCTTCGATCACATCGCATCTAACCCTATGCCCTGCCTTTCTAGTTTCTACTTTCTATTTCTATTTTTAATTTGTTTTTTCAATTCTCAGCACAAGGTACCTCTGTTATCTTTGGAAGCACTGCATCACCTCCACATCTTCATTTTTGTCTTGGCTATCGTGCATGTCACCTTTTCCCTACTCACCGTTGTCTTTGGAGGCGCCAGAGTCAGTACTGTCTCTACTTTTTTTATTTTCCCTTCTCAACTCAACTCTTCTCTCTTCATAACATCACTCTCATTCTATATATAGATACGTCAGTGGAAACACTGGGAAGATTCAATCGCAAAACAGAATTACGAGACAGCCCGAGGTATATATATTCATTTGCCCAATTATTTTCTGCTCTGTTTCTGTTCTCTATGTCTTCAATTGTTTTATTATTAATTCAACTTTATATGCTTTTCCAAAACCAATATACGTGTTGCTTTATGCATGTACAGGCTAATTTTACTCTAATTGTGTGATCTGAATCATCAAACCTTTGGAAACAATGTTCCTGATTATGCTTTGAATCTATTTCTTTCCTCGCTTCTAGTTTAATGCCTTGTGGTTTAATGCAGTTCTGAAACCGAAGGTGACTAATGTTCAACAGCATGATTTTATCAGGGGTCGTTTTGCTGGTTTCGGCAAAGACTCTGCCATCGTTGGTTGGTTGGTAAGTTAAATACTAGTTTCTCATGCTCTGAAACTTTGCATAACTACAATATATACTCTTGTCATGATAAAGCCCCTCTGGCCTCTGCATCTTTTCATTGGAAAATACTGGTGTCATCTTTGGATCCTTAACATTACAACCTTATCAATGGTTTTCTAGATGTATCTTTTTTAGATCTTGTTTCTAAATTTGATATATTATTTTCCTTTATGTTTGATTACCACTATGTAGTTATTTTCTTCATAATTTCTTAATTCAAATTAACAATAGCCTTCAAAAACTTGTTTATCCTTAGTGTAGTAGACTCTAGATCACACAACAAATTTGTAACTTGGAAAGTCAGAGCTAAGCGAATACCATTATCATGTTTTTGTTTGCTTTTTATTCACTTCTCTTAATTTCCTTTTGTTTCTTTCAGGTATCCTTTTCAAAACAATTTTATGGGTCTGTGACAAAATCAGATTATGTGACATTACGGCATGGTTTCATCATGGTAAAGCACTAGTGTGCCATATTTTTGTCAAATAATCTCTCAGTGAGCTATTGACCAATGATTTCCATGCTTGAATCATAAAATTTATCCTTTGGTGCTTTCATTTGTTGTAGACCCACTGCAAGTCGAACCCAAAGTTTAATTTTCACAAGTACATGATCCGTGCCCTCGAAGATGATTTCAAGCAAGTTGTTGGTATAAGGTAAATGGTTCTGTATCATCGCTTTTATGCATGTCACACATATACATCATTTAATTGCCTAGAAAAATTTATATCCGTTTGTGTCATTGTGTAAATTTATTGATTCTTTGTTATAACAAGTATATTTTCTGGTTGCAGTTGGTATCTGTGGCTCTTTGTGGTTATCTTCTTGTTGCTTAATATCAATGGTATGCTATTAAACATAACATTATGCTTTTTGTATGTCATCATTTTATTTGGCTCTGCCTAGGCTGACACTACTTTGCAGTGTCAAGACTGGCATCTAATTTTTTTTTTTTTTTTTTTTTTTTTTTTTGTGTGTGTGTACCTTGTGATATTGTTTATGGATATGGTAGTCTTTTTTGACCATTTTGTTTAGTGTTTTTGTGACAAAGTTAATTTTATTAACACTTTCTGCTGTGAAAAAGGAAACGAGCTTAAGATTTATTTTTTATGATTTGGTGATGAATTTCAAGCATGACAGTTAGCAATAATGACCAATATACTTTTGCCTATGAATAATAGTAATTTATCTAGTTACTTGTGTTGCTTTTGCTAATTACCAAAGAAACATTACTTTAAACTCACTAATAAGATGTCTGCTTAATTCTTCCAGGTTGGCATACATATTTCTGGATTGCTTTTATTCCCGTCATCGTAAGTATCTTGATTAAGATTTTGCCCTTTTTTTTTGTGTGGACATTAGGTTTGCATTCTCTTGTCTTAATTTTATTCAAGGGATAGGAACAAATTAATAATGTTGCATGGAGTTTTCTTAATCAAATCAAGAAAGTATATATAGTTCAAAACTATTGAGATTCTGTTAAACTGATGTTGTTCCTTGGTTTTTGGCTGCATAACTACCAGGAGATTGGTTCAACAATATCCTTAAATTTCCTGTAAATATGATATCTATTACTTGGTAAAATTAAGCGAAAAAAGTTAGTGTGTCAAATTTTTTCCCATTAGTTTATGTTTACATCACTTGTTTGTAGCATTTGACTAGAGGAGCTATTAACTCGGTGGCTAGTTTTATTCTCCTGGAAATGTTGACATGGGTGTCAAATGTTCCATGTTTGTTTCAAGATTACGAAAAAGATTGCCACTTTAAACTTGTTTCCAATCATATTTTTTCAATCATTTCCCCCAAATCGTATTCAGAGGTAGTTTATTTCAATGGAAATTAATCAAGCTGAATCTCCAAAGATTTCTGATGCTTTTCTGCTCAAAGTTAGTTGTGAGTCTGTCTCAGTATTGACTTAGAAGAATGGAGGAAGGTGGAGAGATACTTGTAAAGGCACTTTAACACCTACATCTGTAGGTAGTAACAGTATAATGGAAGGGTGTTTGTATCTTGTTTATGTGAGAATGAGTTGGATTTTTTCAAATACACCCCCTCACATCCGGTGTCCCCGTCACATCCGGTGTCTAGTATTATTGGACTTGATACGTAAATACATGACCCTTTTTAATAATTTAGGATAGGCGAGATACATGGTTGGTGACCCTTTTTAATGATTTAGGCTAGGTGGGACTTGAGTTTTTTTTTAATACACCCTCTCATGCCCAACATTATTGGACTTGGTGCATGTATCAATAGTGTGTGGCTCATTTAGAGTGAATCTAGATAGATCTGATACCATCTTAGAATAGTGGCTTTGAGCCTAACCTAACCCTAAAAAATCAAATTTGTAAGGTGAGGATTGTTCTCCACTTATGTATTCTTTAGTTGTCTTATTTTGATGTGAGACTTGGGTTTTTCCCAATAATATTCTAGAACCCCTTGTGACTTGTGAGTGAAATGTTAGGTGTTGTTGGGGATCCTCTAGTTTGAGTGTCTAGTTTGAGTGCACGGGGCATTGCCCAAAGCAGGCATTTGATGGATTGGTTACCGGTTATTTTTGGAATTTCTTTTCTTTTGGCATTTTTTTCAATCATCATCATTATTATTAGAAGTCATATTTATGCTAGTGTTGTCCTTTCAATCGGTGCTCACGTTGAATCTGCATTACTGTATGAATAGGCATGCATGTTTAATTTCTTCATGCAAATTGATGTACTGGTAGGCTTTTGCTGTATGGATTGGAATATCCTTTATTCTTCCTTGTCCCCGCACCTTTTATCTCCCTTATCATTAATTTCATAGTTTCTGGTTTGCATTCTTTCAGCTTTTACTAGCTGTGGGCACTAAGCTGGAGCATGTAATAACCCAACTAGCTCATGAAGTAGCTGAAAAGCATGCAGCCATAGAAGGTGACTTAGTTGTGCAGCCATCAGATGAACACTTTTGGTTTCATCGGCCCCGAGTCGTCCTCTTCTTGATTCACTTTATCCTTTTTCAAAATGCTTTTGAAATAGCATTTTTTTTCTGGATATGGGTAAGCAAATTCTTTTGAAGCATAATTTGGGATTTTCTCTGCCAACCTTTTTCTCTTATTATTCTTCTTTTAGTTTATTTTCCAGACTGTATGTCGGCAGTATCATTAGGGTTACTGTCTTCGAGATATTATCGACTTTGACACTTGTTGAGCCATCACAATTTTATCTTTGAAAAGGATTTTCAGAGGTTTAAGAAGGAAAACTGTTTATAAACTATTTTTAACCTCAATTGTTAAGCGATATGAAACTTGCGGGAATAAGTTTTATTTCCCTTTTTGGTTTAGGGAGGCATGGTGTGGGACTGTGGGGTTAGGGGGTAATTTTATGTAGTTATATCGGATATAATTGTCAGATTGTGTTCTCACTTCTCAGGTTACATATGGATTTGACTCCTGTATAATGGGACAAGTTCGTTACATTGTTCCAAGGCTCGTTATTGGGTAACTGTTAAAAAATTTCTTTTCTTGAGCACTCTTTCTTTCTTCGCGTTTTTTTTACTATTAAGCTCAATCTTTTTTCTTTTTCTCTTTTATTATTATTATTATTATTTTTTTATAACTTTTGTGTATTGGGTTTCTAGGGTATTTATTCAGGTACTATGTAGCTACAGCACCTTGCCACTCTATGCAATTGTTACGCAGGTACGCTTGCATAGCTATTCAAACTAAATGCAGATTAATTTTATGAATTAAAACTGTGTCCTCTTTGCATTGACTTACATTATTTTCACTCTGTAGATGGGAACTCACTACAAGAGGGCAATATTCAATGAGCATTTGCAACAAAACATTGTTGGTTGGGCACAAAAGGCAAAGAGGAGGAAAGGACTAAAAGCTGAGACTGAGAGCCATTCTGGCCAAGGAAGTGCTCATGAGAGTTCTGGTGCTGGTGCTGGTGCTGGTTCTGCTACAGGAATCCAGCTTGGGTCAATTTTCAAGAAGGCATCTGCGCCAGGAGACAGTACCTCTGTCCCCAAAGCCGATGGTAACTGAGTGTGGCCATCTAAGCGAAGATTTACAGTCTTATTTTGTAAAGTTGCACACAAATTGCAATTTTCTTTATATTATTTTATTTGCTAACATAGTGTAGCATTGTGGGACATGTCTTTGACTTGGTGTACCTGTAGTTCTTTGAGTAGATGTTGGTAAATAGTAATGCTATTGTAATTGTCATTTCTAAGACCCGTCATCGCCCCCTTACCACACTCGTCCTCCCTCAGGTTTTTGCCTGTTACTTCCCCAGAAAGGTTGACTGTTGACACGGTCCTTCTCCGGTTCTCCCTAACTTAGCTCCTGTTTAAAAGCTGTGTTGGTTTTATGAAGCAACGTAAAGATAAGCCACTTTAATTTTTGTTGATAAAGTTTAAGACAAACTCGGTAGATGGGAATCTTCCTTTCTTGTCAGAAACATCACTTCTGATAACCCCCTTGGTTACATGGAACGCACGGCACTTTCCTGAACAATTTGCATCATTCTTTACTGAAACTGATAGGACGGTGGAATAAACAAGTAATAATAATCCAAAGAGAAAAAGAGGATTGGGTCTCAAATAAATGAGGGATTATTGTAAGGACACAAACTCAACAGAAAACACTTTTTTTTTCTTTTTAAATTATATTATTAGTGCATAATATGGGTAAATTATTTATCAATTTTTCTAATAATTAATTTTTGTCGGTCGCTATTTTTATAAAGAAATTAGAGAAAGCTCGCATTTAAATAATTGTTACCTAGTGAAAATTTTAATTTAGCATAGTCATGTAAAATGTAGATATTTAAATGTTTTAGATTGGTTTTTTTTAATAATTTGAAATAATAATCTTTAAGTAGTTTTGGATAAATAAAAAAAAATATTTCTGAATAGTCTAGTGATTGAAAAATATATGCGGAAATAATATTTTGACTTAAAAAATTTGATTAGAAATATTAGCCTATATTTTAAATGAAAACATATTAATAAGAGCCTAATTAGGTTCCCTATCTAACAACATAGTTATTTATAAATAAAAGTGTATATTCTAAATATCCTGATAATTAGAAAGAAAAAAAAAGAAGAGAATTTTATCATTCTTAAACATTACTTAAGTAGCTTTGAATAAATAAAAAAGAAATATTTCTAAATAAAAAACATAAATAATGACAATGAATGGAAAAAAAATTGCGAAATTAAATTTGAACATACATGATTAACCACTAAGATTTTCTAATAGTTAATGATCTAATACATTCATAATTGATTATGTATGTGCACCACTAAAATTTTAAAGTGATTCCTAAATGTGAATAGAAAATTGATTGTTTTCTTTTGATATTGCAATATTGAATTTGATCACCATCAATTGAAATATATTATGATTTTGTAAATTAAAATATTGTAATTTTGAATTATTTAGTTTTCGAATTTTCGAACGCATATTATATTAAATTATTAATATTTGATCGATTGATTTTGTTTGATATTAACATCTAATTTTAAATTTCCAATGTTATTATGATTGAAGTGAATATCTAATAGCGGTTGAAATGTTATAATTAAAATAAAAATATAATTTTAAATTTGTGGCTATCTACGTTTATAGTACAAGAAAGAAGAACAACGCACAATTGTTTTATAGAGAGTAGTAAGAATCCGTGCGTATATGTCTAAGAGTAATAGTGAAAATTTGTATATATTTATTTAGTGGGAAAAGGCGAGAGAGGAAAGAAAAACCCTAGTGAGGGAGTGAGAGGATCAAGCGATGACGATCCATTCGATCGTAATACAGAAGCTTCTGAGCACGAACGCTCAGGTGGGTAGGAGAGTGGCAGCCCACCACTTGAAGGAGTACACGTACGGATTCCGCAACAAAATGGCGATAATCGATTCCGACAAGACCCTCATTTGCATGCGCAGTGCCTGCAACTTCATGGCCTCCCTCGCCCGCCACAACGGCCGCTTCATGTTCATCAACACCAACCCTCTCTTCGACGACATCTTCCACCTCATGACCACCACCGTCGGCTCCTTCAGCCCCTCCACCAGCGCCCTCTGGCGCACCGGCGGCTTCCTCACCAACAGCTACAGCCCCAAGAAGTTCCGCTCCCGCCACAAGAAGCTCGTCTTCGGCCCCACCCAGCCTCCCGATTGCATCGTCATCGTCGACACCCAGCGCAAGTCTTCCGTCATCAACGAGGCTTTCAAGCTTCAAATTCCCGTTGTCGCCTTGGTCGACACCGCCATGCCTCTCCATGTTTATAACCGCATTGCTTATCCCGTTCCCGCCAATGATTCCGTTCAATTTGTTTACTTGTTCTGTAATTTGATCACCAAGACACTGCTTCGCGAGAGGAGCAAGGCTGCTGCTGCTAATCCTTCCATTGATGCTCGGTATCGCGCTTTACCTCATTCTCTATTCTTTTTCTTTTCCTCTCTCTGTTCAATTTAATTAATTACATCTCAGTTGATTAATTAAAGAGACGAAGCTCCGCTCAAGGCCAAGACCGATTCTGCTAATGTGTCCATAACCGTATTACCCTATGCTAGTTTGGCTCCCTTACCTGAAGGTAAACACTTGTTGGAAAACTTATTTGCTTTTTTTTCCCCACCCTTGTCATATTTTCTTTTAGAAAGTTGAGCTGAGTTAGGCTGAGCAATTTTCACATCCTAAGCAGATGTAGAAGAAACTAAGAATCTTTTGGACAAACTAGTTGTTTTGAAGTTAAATGCCGCCCAAGGAACAAATATAGGTTTTGAGGGTCCCAAGTAAGTATTCATCAAACTCTTCTGGTTTAAATTGGATATTTAATGTATACTTTACATAAAATGCGGGTTTCGTTTGAGCAACATGTTTTTATACTTCATTTCATGGTTGACGACACATTGTTTTGGAGGCTTTAAACTTTTCATATTTACTTACCCTCCTGTGTACGCTGCTGATGTTTTCTACCCTTCTCTATTCTCTTCTAGAAGTGATGAAAATATTAGAAAGATTAAATGAAACAATTTAGCACGTTGTACTTTATTTTGCGTTTACTTGTGCATAAGTGCATGTGTTTCTATTTATATGCATCGAGTGTTTAAAGTCCTTTTCTTTTTTGCACTCATGTTCCCCATCCATGGGATATTCAAAACTTCACACCTGATGAATTCCGCCAATAATTTCTGCTCTCATGCAGATCTGCAATTGATATTAGTGATGGACTGACATTTATGGACTTGATCATTAACCAGATTGAGGTGAGACATTTATATTTAATATACGAGTTATGATAATCACACTTTCTTATGACTGTACTCCTCTGCAAATCATTGGTTTATTCGTTGGTTTTTTTTTTTTTTTTTTTCTTGAATGATCCAGATTCTGAACACACCTCAAACTGTATCTGCAACTCTTATGTTCCCTTAATACATGGTTTCGACTGGTTGTTTTTGGTTCTTACTATTCTGTTGTTGCAATTTGTAGTCCCTCAACTCCAAGTATGGATGCAGGGTTCCGCTGCTTCTTTTCAACAAAGATAACGTTCATGATAGTTCTCTAAAGGTGAAATGCCATTTCAATTTCCATATGCAATTGATGACCTCAGCTACTATTGAAATCTTCAGCTTCATCTTCCATAGGTTTTGGAAAAGTATTCAAAATCAAGCATTGAAGTGCACACTTTTAAACAGGTTTGCATTTGTTTCATACTTTGGATATATAGATATTGATTTGTGATTTCTCACTATCAATACATCATAATCTATGTTATGTAGGGTGAAGGTCCAGAATTGAAATTATCGGGTGGACAAAACAGCAAGGGAGAAGTGTATGTCATCTTTCAAATATATGTCTATTAAATTGAATTCTAGACTAGATATTTATGTGCAAGTTTGTAAAGATATATCGTTTCAGTACTGATTGATTGATATTGTTATAATGTTATAAATACTGTGATTACTGATTAGTGTTACCCTGATATAGTCTATATGTTAATAGCAGCAATTTAGATGTGGAACCAAAGCTTAGGGACATTGGATTAGCTATTTTCTGTTTGCTTGACCCTTCTCTGAATTATTGTGAGGCAGGCAAGGTTGACTGTGCAAATTTGGTGTAGTTGATCTATGAATCCTGATAACCTATGATTAGGTCTAGTCACATCATGTTTTAACTAACATGTAAATTTGGTTTGACATGAAAAACATAAAAAAGGTGACCTGGTGCACAAAGCTCTCACCTAGTGGGGTTTAGGGAGGGTAGATATACATAGCCTTTCCACTGCATGCTGTGAGGTTGTTTCTAGTACTTTTGAACCTGTGACCTCTATGTCACTGTTAGGATCCAATTGCAAGGTATGGGACTTGAGTCCCACATTGGAAGTATGAAATTTTGATGGTGGTTTATAAGGTCTTGGGCTCTCCAACTACAATGCCTAGCTTTAATGGTGTGATTCTCTCTAGGTTCTTATCAGTCACAAAGGCAGCAACCTTACTATGGCTTGCCCTAGAGATGCAAAAATTAGTGCATGTAAAAATGTCTTTTCCAAGTTTTCTTTATTATTCCATGATATATTTGCATTTATCACTTCAAAATTTTTAATTCCTCGGCATGGATTTCCTTCCATACCACATTGTAGGTGATAGATAGCTATTGTTTATTGGATTGCAATTTGCAAATAAGACAGTGGACTTTATAAAGATATGAGAATTGTTGAGAAAGTCTAAGTATCATATTACTTTGCAATACCTAGGGTTAATATTTTAATTTTTGAAAGAAATTAACTGTAAATATTTAATAGCTGTAAATTTAGATATGTCAAATAATTTGTCAGCAACTCAGCTACAAAGTTGGCTATGTTAACTGATCAAAATATAATTATCAGTAAATAAAACAATTGACAGAATATATATTTCAATTTATAGAATTGTGTCGGCTATGACTTGCTAATTGGCTTTCTTGATAAATACTTTATCATTTTAAACTAACCTGCTAACTCTGTGTGAAGGCATCCATTTGATGATGTGTTCCGTTCACTAATGGCTGGTGGAACCCTTGATTCATTATTGGCCCAGGTATGAACATTTTATGCAGTTGAGTGCTGGGTGTATCAAAGCCTTTGTCCTGTTCCTTTAAAATCTATAGCAAGAGCTATAGGATACTTAAATTTGAATTATTCAACTGTGTGAGATGTGCACATTTGTTTGTGCAGTTTTTACTAAGTTATTCATTTTATTTTCCAGGGTAAGGAGTATATCCTAGTGTTGAAGTCGGACAATGTGGCAACAATCATAGATCCAAGTATCCTTCTTATAGTTTTAATTAATCATTCATGACAATATTATTTTGAAATCATTACTTCATACTTCCTAACCCCGCTTTGACATTCACATGTTTTGATTTTTGTCAACCTTGACTGCATCTTGTAGACATACTAAATCATTTGATGATAAATGATATTGAATATTGCATGGAGGTACGCAGAAAATTTTTATCTACCAAATAAAATGCTGCCACTTCTCTTTTTAAGGTATATACGAGTTCTCTGTTTCATTTTCTTCCTTTTTTCCCAGGTGACCCCAAGCCGATCATTTAATTTAATCTTAACCACAATGAAGTTTAAGGTATATTTTCTCTCCCTTCATTGTTACTTGCCCCCTTTAGTCTCTTCAATATTTTGTGCTAGTCTTGGAATTGCCTGATGCTTAATGAACTGGTCTTCAATATGTGTGTAAGCTTAACCTATTATATATGAGCATATATTGCAAAAGTTTTAATCCAGAAAATTTAAGACATACACTGGGAAACAACTTTGGCTTAACACTATGTTTGATAATCTATGCAGCTTCGGGAGATTGCTCGAAACCAAGATAAACATGTAAGTATATATATATTATGACAACATATATTATTTTGTTTCATCTTATGCAATAGTTATAAAAGTTTTATTGTGAATTACTGACAAGACTCGTGAGAATATTATAACAATACTGTTTTCTTTTCTATTGTCATTTATTTTTCCTGATTGTTGTGTTGAAGTTGCAGGACAATTTCAAACTTATCGATACAACAAACATGTGAGTGAAATGCTGTTTTTCTATTTTAATTTCTTATTGAAATTTATCATATGTGCTGAATTCCATGTGTTTTACTTTGCATAGGTGGGCGAGTTTAAGAGCTATCAAGAGATATGCCGACACTGATGAATCAAAGCACAAGAGGCACTCAGATTTGAAGGTATCACTCCCTTGCTGTCATTAGTTCATTACTCTACTGATAGCTTATGTAAGAATGAATTGAATGGGTCAATGCCCCATGAAAATGACTATTTTCAAACTCTTCTACAGGACACAGCAGCTGGACCAGCTATAGAGGTATATGCCTACTTGTTTATGCTTCTCTAGTGCACTTGTGCTTGTGCTTCTATTTTGATATTGTTGCTTAGGTATAAAATAGGATCATGTATTTGAAGATAAATTTATAGAAACTGATCCAATGAACTGAGACAAACCCAAATTGCCTAAAAGGTGCCAGAGAGTTCATTCCAAAGGAAACCCAACTGAGCAATGAAAAATAAATGAGGCACAATTTCAGATGCAAATATGCATGTTATGAGAGAGCTATGCGAGGCCAACTAACCTGCAGCTAGCCACTAGTATTAATCCCGTTAAGTACATCTGTTCAAACAAAAACTGACCTTGGAAGCAGTTTTAGACTTGAACTGGCTTACTGAAGGCAAATCTTTCCCTTATGGGAGAATGTACGAGAAACTGAAAATAAGATTAATAAGAAAAATCTAGAAAGGCTCCAGATTTTCATATCAAGATTGGAGAAAAGGGAGCAGAATCTAGAAAGGCCAAAAGGGACTGAAATTCAATAGTTCCTCTGTCATTTAAGTTTCAGCGGAAGTGGAATTTCCAGGAAGCGAAAGCTAAAAAGTTTTGATGGGATAATTATCACCAATATACAGCTGAAAAGGACCAGGGAAAGCTTAAAAAAAGGAGATATCTCTCACTCATGTATCCTTCCAAAACTCATTTTTGGCCATCTGTCAATTTTAAAGAGGCCAGATTTATAATAAACAATATCCAGATTTATATGAATCACGTTCACAGTTACATTGACATCCCAACCATTCAGATGAAGACTACATAATTCAAATTTCTCTGTCATAAAACATTTCCTTGATGTTAGAACTAGCTATAAATTGAACAAATGTGAGGACAATTTATGCAAATGGGGAATATTATAGATTCTGATTGAAAATTAGAGGTCCCTGCTAGGCTGCTCCTTTGAATTTCACCTTTCCTGTATTTGAGGTATAGGAAGGTGGGCCAGGCTGCTAAAAAATGAACTACACAGATTTACTGATTTGAGTTACTCGCGACAGCTTTTGGACCCTGGTCCATAATATCAATTTTGGAGTGCATGTTCTTATCATATGTGAAGTTGCATTCATGCTAAGACTAATGTTATTTGTATTATTAAAACTTTTATCACTACAAGTGTTAGAAATACTAATAATTTCTTATGTTTACGGTATTTGCAAGCTTAATTAGAATAAATAATGTAATATTAAGGTGCATGACAATTGCCTCATAATCCTCATGATAAGAGAGAATAAACTATTGACTAGTATAACACAAGGTTGTTTATGTTAGATATGAAATTACTAATTGTTGTTTGTTTTTAATGTTTTATCCATGCCAGTTCTTTAATAATGTGATTGGTGTCTCCGTGCCTGAATCTCGCTTTCTTCCCCTTGATGCAACATCAGATCTATTGCTTCTTCAGGTGACAATGATTTCATTGTATATGTGAATTATGTTACTGAAAAGCATACTTTGGTGTACGTAACTGACTCTCCCTCTCACCAATAATGATTCTTGCAGTCAGATCTATACACTTGTAGAGAAGGTGTTTTAACTCGTAATACAGCTAGAACTAACCCTTTAAATCCTGTGATAGACCTGGGACCTGAATTTGAAAAGGTGAAAAATTAGTGTTTTCTTGTCTTATTCTTGCATAGCTATTACCTTTTCTTATAAATTGTGTACGTGTGTCATTCTCAGGTTGGTGACTTTCAAAGCCGTTTCAGATCCATTCCAAGCATCGTTGAGCTGGATAGTTTGATGGTGAGAGGTGATGTGTGGTTTGGAGCCAGTATTACTTTAAAGGTATAATGGATGTTCCTTTTCCTGTTGATCATGTAGCATGTCCAATAGTTGCTCTTTATTCACTTTAATTATAGACTACATTTATATTTGAAATTTCAAAAGTATTTTGTTTTTCCTTTTCTGAATACCAGTGAAACTTTCTCCTGCCACATTGATTTTTTACTTTTGTTCTTCTTTCCATTCAATTGAGATGTGTGCTGTGTCAGAGGAACTTGTCATAAACTGTAGGAGCATTTTATGTCTATAGATTTTGATCTTGCGTTGCCCAATCTATAGCAAATTTTAAATACTGCTAAAGGTTAAAAAAAGGCTTTATAATCGTTTGAGCATGGGGTGCTGGATATGTCAAGAGGCTGAAAAGTCAAAACTGTAGCCCAATCTTAAAAGCTCATTTGAATGCCTGAGCAGGTCCAAAGCATGGTCCTACTCCTACCATTGGGTAAAATGCGGCTGAGAGATCTGGACAGAAATAATACTTGCACTTGCATAACCCACATATAGTGGTGTAAAGATTTGAAGAATTAAGCCCTTCTCTCCTCCTAAGAGTTGAGGAAGCCACATAATAACTTCCCCCCTCCCAAATAAAACACGCCTACACACATAAATTTCTGAAAGATTTAGTGCAGAGGGGTGGGAGAGTTCAGAGTTGGGGGCTGATTATATTTGAATATGTTAAAGCAGAAAAAAATCGTAAGATAATTCTGATCTCATGGTCAAGGACCATCTTTATCTTAAAAAAGCTGAAGCTATTAGGATTTAGGAATATGCTAATATTGGTTTTATATCTGTATCACATCCCCTCATGCAAGAGTCCAGTTGGCTCGAATACCCAAGTATGGACAGTGTACAGGCTCACTCATACTGACATTCAACTCTATTTTAGAAGAATGGAGGGCAATGAAGTTGAAACTCGTGACTACCATTACATTATAGAGGCTATGATGCCATGTTAAGTAAGAACCATAAGCTATTAGGTGAAGGCCAACATTAGTTTGTCTGTAACACTCAAATTATCCTAAATTAACGAAGGGAGGGAAATCTCTGGATAATCCAGACAAGAGATAAATCACTTTTTATTTTTAATTTTAAAGTAATAAAATCTCTAGATATCTATAGGCAGTTCCTTGCAAGTCTTCTTTATAAAAATAATTGTAGGATTCTTTTTTTCTCTTTCACAAATTTTCTTCCTTGGTTTCTGCTTATTAGAAACTTGGGGTAATTTTTTTGCTTTTTATATGGAATAGAAGATTGAAATTAGGTCAATTGGGAGTACAATACAAATCCCATTTTAATGTATTGTAAGCATTCAAATTCAACAACTTCCTGTTAATATTGTTTATTGTCTGAACTACTCTACGAGAGACTGATGCTATGATTATCTTGCTTTTACCTGATCTTTAACCCTCTGTTTTCAGGGGAAAGTGATCATTGCTGCAAAACCTGGCTTGAAATTGGAAATTCCGGATGGGGTGACAATTGAGAACAAGGTATAATACTAATTTCAGTGAGCTTTTGAGTCTCTTTATTAAAAAACTTAATCTTTTCATGGGTTTTATTTTCCATGTTCTGTTGGTGGTGTTTGAGGGATTGTGGTTTGTAGGTTAGGTGTGTGGTAAGAGTTTTGTTTCTTTGGACCGATTATCTTTTGGTTTTTGTTTGCTGGTCCAAACATGGGGATTTATGTCATTGTTGGTTGGGAGGCCTTTCAGTTGGATAGCCTGACCGTGACTCTGCAAGAGTGCAAGCTTAAGAGCAGGATGGAGGAAGATTATCATATTTAAATATATCTATTATCCTTTCTTCTTTTTGTCCATGAGGGTGATGGTGGTGGAGTAGGGGTTCGGATGGGCCCACTTGCTCAACTTGCCATTTCCATTTCTGGACTTTTGTTGGCAACTGAAGAATCACAGGAAGCTTTAGATTGAGAATAACGTAATTCATAGTGACAATTTATCTCGTAGAATTCAAATTATCCCACAATTAGGAAACAGAATCTTGATATTTCTGCCTCAGATAATTCTTTCCTCTCCTTCAAGAATCTGTTATTCAACAGCCCTTTTTCTGGAGCTAGAGTTTCAGAATTCTGACCTGAGTTATTCTAGAGCACAAACTGCCTTAGAATTTGAATCTTGAAGAATTAGCTTTCTTTGAATCAGCAACTAAATCACCCTCAACATTCAATTTAAAATTTCCAGTCAGTCTCAACCCCCATTCTCACATTTTATTCCCAACCTTCCGGTATACTCGTTAGACCTGTTTTGGTGGGGTTTTATTTTTTTATGCATTCAGAAAACTAAACTTCATCTACATTACAGGAACATGAGCAGTATTGATTCAGTGTTTTAGTTAACAAAAAGTTAACCGAGTTTTTAACAATATGATGATGCTTCTGAGGGTGAAGAAGGCAGGTTTCAATAACATTAATGCCTTTCATCATCCTGACCCAAAGAGCATGATAATTATGAATGATTCTCCAACTTTCTATAACTATTAGTATCATTTGAATGATTATGATATTTTTCTGATTGTTAAAAGTGAGTAAACAGAGACATAAGATGCTGAAACTGGGTGTTTAAACGACACCGTGGAGCTATGTTTATATAGGCTTATTTCATTTAACACACATGAATAAGTGATAAGATACTATGTGCTTATAAACTATATATACGATAATTACTAATTACGTTATGATTTTCTCAACACTGATGATCATATTTTGTTGCTTTACAGGAGATCAACGACCCTGCAGATATCTGAGGATGAATGGTTTGTAGAATTTGCTGGGATTTGGTTCTAGTGAATACATGACTGGTGAACTTTGATTTACAGTGCTATACAATTTAGTTTGTCGCATTTGCAGCAAGCCATCTTTTAGCCTTTCTATTTGCTGGGAACTAAAAAGGTTGCAGAAGCACATGGTTCCTAACACATTTTTTCTTTGAAGTGGCATGATAGTGGTTAAATAATTCTCAACTCAATACTCATCTATTCATTCATTTTGTAACTTTAGGGCAAGGCTTGATATGTCACAGCTCAGAACCCGAGGCAAGGAATAGGAATAGTTTCAGTCTTGCTTTGCCGGTCTTTTGCCTTGATACTATTAGAACCACACCAATTGTTTACTGCTCCAATAGTCCAATGAGACGGAGCATAAGGAGCAGAGATTTTTGTCCTCCTAGTTAACTGAAGGCATGTGTCAGACTTGTATTGGCTACCCCAAGAGTTTACTGCTTTGTTCTTTTTCTTCTGTCTCTTAAAAAAAATTCAAATTAGAATTGACCAAGATTTTTCTAATTTGAAATCTTTCTTGTCATTGACTTATATCGGCTACCCCAAAATTTGGCAAACAACTAATTTGTCTCGCTGTGACCAATAAAGAATTAACTAATTTAAAATTTTAATTTTCTAAAAGGTTTTTAATTTAATGGTGTATTAAGGTTCTGAAAGTTAAGTTAGAACTTAAAGTGAAATTGAAATTAATTTAAGCAATAGTATTTAAAAGAATAAAAATTGTAAAAAAAATAAAAATAGATTTTTTTTTTGTTCGACCCTGGAGTATTTACTGCCAATAGCGGTGACTAATCTTTTTGTTACGTTGGAGGTACTTCAAAGGGTGGGATAGCTGGTCTCTAAAAGAATAAAAATTGTAAAAAAAATAAAAATAGATATTTAATGTCGAAGTCATATATGACTGAAAAATAAATTTCAAAATCACGATCATTCAACAGTGAAGTTTTAATAATATAACGGTGGGTACACTTACCAGTTTGGTTAAAATTGTATTGATTTGATTTTAATAAAATAATCATAATATTCACACAAAAAAAATAAAGATTAGCAGATTAAATATTATTAAATTCCTACAAGAAAAGATTGTTTTTATTTTTGGTTTTTAAGAAGTAATAATCTTTTGGTTATTTATTTTATGAAAATGTGTCACGTATTGTATAGCTCCTCTAACTATGAATGGGTAGGGTTTTTTGTGAAGTACAAGAATCATATTTGATTTTTTTATAAATAAAATATTAGAATTAGACATTTTCTTAGAGTCCAAAAGTGTATATTTTTATATTTAGCATAATTAAAAATATATGTAACACAAAATAATGAAATTTATTGATTTTGAATTGAAACTTGAAAGCAGTTATGGTTCTACAAGGTTTGAGGTTTGGTGGGCTGTTGTTTGTGAACGCAAGAGGCCCATATCTTGAATGGGTCGGGTGGGTTGCAGCGTAGCAGAGAGAGAGAGAGAGAGAGAGAGGATAAGAGTGAGCTTAGTTGTGTGTGTATGGCAGTGAGATAGCGAAGCAGCCATGTCAATCTTGTCCATTTCATCACCCATCTACCGTTCTTCCCATTCCCCATTTTCATTTTCAATTTCAATTTCAATTTGCCGCATGCCATGTTCTTTGACGGCTCAGGCACTTGTGGGAGGAAGAAAAGGAAGAGCGAAAGGGGTGGTCATGAGCATGGAAGCAGGTATTGGAGTCATGGCCACCAAATTGGGTATGATGAGTTACTTCCAGCCTGACGGAGAGGTCGTTCCCGTCACTGTGGTCGGTTTCAAAGAAGGCAACATCGTCACCCAAATCAAAACTGACGCCACCGATGGCTACAACGCCGTCCAGGTTGGCTACCGAAGGGTCAGAGACCGCAAATTGACCAAACCCGAAATGGGCCATCTCCAGAAGGTCGGCGCCATTCCCATGCGCCATCTCCAGGAGTTCCGTCTTCAAAGCGTGGACGGCTTCGACCTCAACCAGCGCCTTCTTTTCGATCAACTTTTCAATGAGGGTGATCTTGTTGATATCTCTGGCACCACCATTGGCAAGGGTTTCCAAGGTCCATGCCTCCTAGGCTCCTACCTTTTTGACTCATTTCCCCTTAGACGATGCCATTGTATTTTAACCTCATTTGTTGCTCACTTGTAGGTGGAATCAAGCGACACAACTTCAAAAGGGGTCCAATGACCCATGGTTCCAAGAGTCACAGACAACTAGGTTCCATTGGTGCTGGAACCACACCTGGTCGTGTCTACAAGGGAAAGAAGATGCCTGGTAGGATGGGAGGAACCAAAAGGAAGATAAGAAAGCTCAAGATTGTCAAAATCGATAAAGATCTTAACGTCCTCTTGATCAAAGGCGCTCTCCCTGGTAAGCCAGGAAATCTTCTGCGGATAACTCCAGCCAAGATTGTTGGCAGCAACATTCCTAAAAATTAGCCCTCATACTTCCCACTTTATGTATACTATTGCTTTTTCCAACCCATTGCCATTGAGTTTTCTATAAGCACCTTACGATTACTACTTCTAGACTTATTCGGATTACTGTTTCTTTCTTCTTTCCAATTCAAATGCCTATCTTCCTTAACCCCTTTCCCCTAAGAATTACGTTATTCACACGCCACATTGTAATTAGAATTAGAACTAGAACCACGGATACCAACATACGTACAAGTAAACCAAAACTTTAAATTAATTAACAATTTTTAAAAGATTTAACTAATATTAAATTTTCCATGTCTTTGTTTTGTCAACTACTCTGTTTTACAAACATCTGTTAGATTGAGAGGAAGGAATTCGAATCGAATCATTTAACCATGTTATTTTCGGTTATATTCTAATGTTCCTGTGCCTAGAGATTAATACTTTAATAGTATCCAGAGATTAGTCTTTCACCTACTAAAAGATATGATATTTTGGAGAAAATAAAATAAAATTTATTTTTGTTTTGTCCAATAAATGTTATAAGATATTTCAAAATAATATTTTTCCTTGTACTTTAAATTTAAATATATTTTTTGGAATGAGATTTGAAAAATCAATTTAACTTTTTAAAATTCGTTATATTAATTTTTTTTATATTTTTTATTATATATTTTTTACTCAAATAAAGTACTAATTATGTCTATTTTTGTTATTATTTTTACTTAAATGCAAATATTTTTAATGTCAAATAAAAATTGATTTCAATATTAGATCTAATTTGGATTTGACTAAAATTATATTTGAATGTCTTTGTTTTATTACCTACGTACAAAAGCCATTTCGTACTTCGTAAATTGTTTTTAAGAATAATAAATTATATAATAGTAAGCGATTCTTAAAAATATAAAAAAGCGATTATTTATGAACTAAGAGAAATTTAAAAATTAAAATTTACAAACTTAATTAGAAATAATTATAAATGAATAAAACAGTCCAAAACAAAATATACACAAAAAAACATGGATCAACTTTATTATTGTTATACCTACAATATATAATAAAGAAAATTATTTCATTTTATGTACATATTTTTTAAAATAATTTTATTTTTAAAATTTAAAATTTTAAAAAATATTATTAAAAATAAATAATTCTTTTAAAAATAAGATTTAAATTTAAAAATTAAGTACAACATCAATTAATATATTAAATAAAATATAAAGTTATGTCCGTAGTGAAAGATATAAATTATAGATTGTGGCAGGAGTGTGTTAAATGTTAATTGAGTGAAATGTGTTTTAAGGAGGTAAATTGTGAGATAGAGCATAGAGGTGTAGAGAAGAAAGAATTAATGGGAATGGTTTAAATTAAGAGACGAGAGAAGTAAAGAAACCCTAATAATGGAAGGGGAGAGGAAAAGAGGGGAGCGTGTGTGCTGCGTCTGCAACAAAGCAAGAGCTTCCGTGAAGAGGCCCAAAACCCTACAACACATATGCAGAGACTGCTTCTACAGCGCTTTCGAGTCTGAGATTCATCAAATCATAGTCGACAACTCCCTCTTCAAGCCAGGGGAACGCGTCGCAATCGGTGCTTCCGGCGGCAAGGATTCCACCGTCCTCGCTTACGTTCTCTCCAAACTCAACCGCCACCACAATTACGGCCTCCATCTCTTCCTCCTCTCCGTCGACGAGGGAATCACCGGCTACCGCGACGACTCTCTCCAAACCGTTCATCGCAACCAGGTTCAGTACGCTCTCCCTCTCAAAGTCGTCTCTTACAAGGACCTCTACGGATGGACTATGGACCAAATCGTTGATGTTATCGGTTTCAAAAACAATTGCACTTTCTGCGGCGTCTTCCGTCGCCAGGCACTTGATCGAGGCGCTGCTCTCTTGAAAGTCGACAAACTTGTTACTGGACACAATGCCGATGATATTGCAGAGACTGTTCTCCTCAACCTGTTAAGAGGAGATGTTGCTAGGTCTTCTTTTCTTCTATTCTTTTACTCTTTTTTTTAATCCTTTTTGGTTCTCATTTTCTTCTCTCTTTTTCAGATTGAGCAGATGCACCTCTATAACCACCGGTGAGGATGGAGCCATTCCTAGATGCAAACCTTTCAAGTATACATACGAGAAGGAGATTGTCATATATCCTTACGCTTTCTTCCTCTCAATTGAATTTCAATTTGAAATTTGTATCGTTTTTGTTTTTGTTTTTGCCTTGACTGCTTCATTACGTATGCGTACTTCAAGAAGCTCGACTACTTTTCCACTGAATGTAATGTTTATTATCTGCAGCCAGCATTCATTTGTATTGTATTCTTTATTCTTTATTTTCCCATGAATTCAACAGTCGCTTTAAAATTGCAGGCATTTATTCCCCAAATGCATATCGAGGTTTTGCTCGCGAGTTCATCAAGGATTTGGAAAGAATCAGGTGACTATCCAAGCAGCCTTGATTTAGCTATGCCTATGCTAATCCTATTATTGCACTCACCAATTATCATGAAATGCAGACCTAGGGCGATTCTTGACATCATCAAATCAGGGGAGAATTTCAGGATATCTACTACTACCAAAATGCCGGAGCAGGGAACATGTGAACGCTGTGGTTATATTTCTAGTCAGGTAGGCTTTATGTAAACAAACAGTGCATTTCAATTAATAATCATGGTTTGTTTGGGTAAGATTATGATGAAGCAGCCTTACTTTAAGTACCATTGTTAAGTGCTAATTGAGGCCATGAGCCTGAAATGGAGCATCCTCTCCTCCCCAGTAGCCAGAAACTCTATTTCACAATATTTATTTTGTCTTATTTGCAGAAATGGTGTAAAGCTTGTGTTCTGCTTGATGGACTGAATAGAGGTTTGCCAAAACTGGGGATTGGACGAAGTCGTGGCAGTGTTGGTTCTGATAACAGAAATGAAAGTAGAGGAGGAAAGAGCATTCAGAGCAAACAATGTGGAACTCTAGACTTCTGATTTGCCATATGCAGCTTCTGATTGATTAATCAAACGTTGCTGGCTAACTGCATTAACTATCTATAAGTGGATTCACTCTATGGCAGTTATTGACAGTGGAATTATATATGGATCTAATAGGGGACGACCAAACTACATCATAAACAGACTTAGCAGCCTATCCTGTCAAGACTAGCAGCTAGACCAGAAAGAGTGAATTAATGAGATTCAGGGTTTTACATACATGATAGTTAGAAAAGAAAAGTCCAGAATGGTTGCATTCTGTACTTGTCAATTTAATCATACATCATTTTTTATCATATACATCTTTAGCTTTATTTCTGTAGGTAACATTGTCAGTTGTACTCAAAGTCGGCTTCACTGACCAGCATGTGTGAGAGACAATCAATAAATTCTAATGGTCTTTACTCTTTACATTACGGTGGAGAGAAAAGTATGAAGTTTAATTTTTTATAAAATAATAATAGAAAAAAATCAATTCCTATTTTGAAAAGTTTACAAAACTGATAAAGAAGAACTAACATTTGATTGCAAAGAGTAGATTTTACTGACAAAACATTAATTTGACACTAACAAATAAATAATTGATGAAATCTAACATTTGTATGAAATTACTAAATATGTTTTTTTAATTTCAAGTTTGATATTTTGTGTAAATTGATCGTATCTCTATAGCGGATGAAATTAAATGATAGTAGAAATTAAACTTAAGAAAATTATACTACTTCTAAACTTATATATATATATATATATATATATATAGAGAGAGAGAGAGAGAGAGAGAGACCTGAGCGCCACCCACCAACAAAACAAATGCGCTACCTCGCTAAGTAACGTGTCGCCTCCACGTTGAGTCGCGGACCTCCTCTGTATTAATGAGTAGCTTGCCTCTGTGCTAGTTGCAGGTATTTCTGCTCCGAAATTATCTTTGATTTATTACAAGTTGTATGTTATTCTTTGATGCGTTCAAATAAAGTATAATTTATGCTATTGGACCCTAGTTTTGTGTTTCCTTTCTTTTTTGGTTGTTAAGTTGCAGGTGGTATTGGTGTGATGGAGGGGTTGAGTCTTCCTGTCATTAGATTCGTCGGAGGTGGAGATGGTGGAAATGAGATTTGAGGAGCCGAAGTAGAAAGGGAGAGGGAGAAATAAAAACATCTAATGCCGACATATGAAATTAATCTACCTGTAATCCACCTTAGCCTTACAAAAAAAAATGAATTAAAATATAAATAAATTTCAATCCAAGTTAATTTTATTTAATATTTTTAATTTTAAAAATGAATAAAGTTTTGGATTGTGTGAAATTTTATAAATCTGATCTATTTTATACAAACTTTAAAGTTAACTGTAAGATTGAAAAAGAATTACTTTTGATAATTTATTGAAAGTATTATTTTACTCAACTCATTGAAAGATCTTAGAATATTTTTGAGTTAAACGTTATAACTCGCATTAATACTTTTAGTTTACTAGTTAGTGAGAAAAAAAATTTAAATAATACATTTATAAAAAAAAATACAAGTAATGAAAGTAAGAATATATAAGTACTAAATATGTATAAGATGCTATTTGAATAAATTTATCAATTGAATATTTGTAAGAGAAGGAAACAAGAAAATAAAATGAATTAGTTTTTCCCCCAAGTTAAACTTCCATATCTTTTTGATTTGGGAAGTTGGTAATAAGCATATTTAAAACTTCGTCTAAATTTTTTATTAATAGTTATCATAACTATTAATTTATATACTTTTTTCATTTATTTAAATGTTATTTAAAATAGTAGTTAATTGTATTTATTGAACTTTCAATACAAGTTAATTAAATAAATTATTTAAATTAGTCATCTAAACTAGATTTCATACGCATTACCACAATATTAGCCTGTTTATTTAACTTACCAAACTGAGTTTTCACTAAAATTCGTATAAATTTTGGTGTTCTCATCAAGAAAGAGTGTGTTCAAT